AACCTATGAGAAAATTAATGATACTCAATATATTGTTGAAACAGAAATTGAAGAAAAAGAGATTACTACCGAAGATCACTCAAGTAAATCTACACGACTAACACCTAGTCATTTGGGATCATTTGTTTTATCTCACAGTAAAAAAATAATGAATAATTTCATTCATGTAATAGATGGATTTTATAAACCCGAAATATACTATACCGACACCGATAGTTTATGCATTTCATCCAACAATTGGAAAAAACTAACCAGAGCTGGTTTGGTCTCCGAAAAAGACTATTGCAAAGGTAAAAACGATTACGGTGATGGTGGAATTATATTTGGTTTATATTTAGCACCAAAAGTTAAATAGAATAGCATTCTAACTTCTGATGGTGTTTTAAAAGAAAAGAAAACATTCAAAGGTTATTCTAATGATAAGATAAGTGTAGAAGATTATATGTGTCGAATGAATTTAAGAAACCATGGGAAAAAAGTTTATTCCAAAGGATGATGATAAACAAACTAAAGTTTTTAGAAGTTATTTGAATAATGTTAAAAGAAAACCACCAAACAGTGAAGGAATTATGTATCCTTACAACGACAAAGATGAGTATACTTTGGATGAAAACTATGAATTTGATGATTTCGATTACCCTACTATTCAAGAAGAGAATGAAGAGCTATTTCACTCGTTTTAAATGAAGTTGAATGACAATTTCTTCGTTGCCAAAGTCTATGAACCTGTTTTTACCGTCTTTGATTTCCAGATTTTATATCTTTGATCATGAAAGAACTGACTGGTAAATAGGTCGTTTGAAACGGTTTCTCTATAATTCTGTATCCGATCGGCACCGTAAAAGTCGGTATGCTGTATATGATTTGGTGTTTGTGCTTGTTGAAAAATCCATCGTTGATCAAATTACAGTGAATGTTGATCACGTCGATGTCGTTCTCGATGTTGGCCTTGTGCGGCGCCAATGTCGATTACGCGTATATTCGTTTATTCAACGAATTTTCTACCTTGAAATCGACTTGACTGTTATTTCTCAAGATCAGTTTTATTTTGTTCAGATTCAAATTACCTTCGAATTCGATATTGTTTTTACCGTTCACGCTTCCTGCGTATTCGGATAGGTATTCGTTGATGGCTACGTATTCGTAGCTTCCCGGTAGTAAGCTTATGGTTTCGAAAGTAACTCCGTTATCCAACGATATTTTTAGTTGATTGTTGTTTTCGTTGATATTTCTAAAGGAATTGTAAACGGAGAAATACTTTAATCCCAGTTCGTACTGTTTATTGCGATCGAGTTCATACTCGTAGTCTA